TAGGGGCAACAGTATGTTTCATGCTTAAATGTAATCGTTACACCTGATGATTGTGTTTAAGCATGAGACAGACTATTGCCACTGAGTGTTGATTCAATGTCCACTTTTATATGTATGTGTATGTTTTAATGAAACTTATATAAAAAGAGGGATTGCTGAACAAATATAAAATTTATATATGTAAAGGGGGGGGCATTGATAATTAAATGGTACATTTTTATGATTTTATGTGTAGGAATAGGTAATTTAGTTTTTGTTAAGTGTACCTTTAGTAAATTTTGACATTTCTTTAAAGTAACATTTGTATATAAAGATTTTATATCTAAATTAGCCATATATTTGTTTTTGATGTTTTTAAAAAACTCTAGTGACCTAAATAAATTAAAAAAACAAATATATAACTAGTTTAGATATAAAATCTTATACAAATGTTCCTGTATAGAAATGTCTAAATTTACAAATGCAACAGATTTTATTACGTTATTTTTAATGGATACCCATATTTGAGTAGACAACCCATTTATTTATTAAACAGTCTATCCGTTTTGTCTACTGGCCTAAATATTCAAGAATTCTTATTAAAGAAAAATATGTGCTCTCCGACAGGATTTGAACCTGTGTCTCCCTTGGTAGAAGAAATCATTATTAGATCCAATGTAATTATGACCAATTCAATCACAAAATGTATCATCGATCAAACAAAATTGAATAGCACCTTATAAACACAAATCTTTCTCAGAATCACAAGACATTCATATCTGACCAATTTCGCATCCTAACATAAACAAAGAAATTTCCAAAGAATTGATGGATACTTTTTTATTTATTAATTCAACAGATTTTTTTTTTACTTAAACATCAGTTTTAATGGACAGTTTATTTACTAAGAAGTATATTTATTTATTTTCATCTACTGGCCCGAATATGCAAGAAATCTTATTCAGGCCGGTAGATGAATATACCATTTAATAAACAGAGCATCCACTCAAATATGGGGAACAATTAAAAATAACATAATATATATAAGATATATAGTTTTCAGGTGTGCTATATTTATGGGTTAAGTGCTCAATATCAAAGAGAGCAGACTAAATAAAAAAAGTGGATATTGAGGTCAACACATAACGGAGACAGTGTTTCATGCTTAAACACAATCTTCAGGCCATCTGGTCTGAAGATTTCATTTAAGCATGAAGTAGACTGTCACCGCTGAGCATTGACCTCAATGTTTACTTTTTTTCATTTATGTACCTCATCCACACACAAGAACAAGTTTAAAAAATACATACCTCTTCCGGATAAGAAATTTTAAACAAAATATGTTTAAAAGAGCTCAATATTTAAGAAAGATTGAACATTAATATAGAGAGATTGTGTGGATATAGTAATCAAGACCGTATAGTGAGTGTCAGTTTCACACTCCATGTGATCTTCAGAAATGTGCGTGCGTGACACTTCATAGAAAGCACAGATTTTTACGCTGATCCAGAGTGGACGAGCTAGGAATTAACAAAGTCAAGGTAGCACACACAGATACTATACTGCAAAAGTGCAGATCCATACGTAAATAATCCAGCCATTTTTTACGGGTATTATGCGAGTAATAATAATAGTCAGACTGAGGCCAAAAGTGACATGCCAGAATAGATTTGAAAAATACATTAAAAAAAAAAAAAAAGCGGGGGAGGGGGTGTAATCCAAATATCACAACAAACACAATCATCTGAAAACTTAAAAATTTGTTGTCCTAGGATCAACGTTGACTTCAATGTTGCACTGTCCAATTAATTGTTGATGTGCAACTGTGCCGTAGAAAATGTCAACACAAAGGAGAGAAAACAAACACGTTTCTTCAGATAATGATGATAAAAGAAAGTAAAAAAAAAAAAAAAAAAAAAAGGTCTTTCTTTTCATATCTGAGAATGGAAATTAAATTTTTACTTGCAGAACTACTAATTAAAAAAAGTATAAAAATTACTTTTCATTTTATTATTGTCACTGAAAGTGAAATAGAGTTCCGTGTAGTAATCAATTTTTAACCTCTTACGTATTTTGCCAATTTGAAAATAAACATGGTTTTAAAAGTAACAATAACATTTTAAAACAATCCTAATATGTGATTTAAAGTTTTAAACAAACATAAAAATAAAATTATCTGATGTAATAGACAAAGTCACAAAAAAGATAAGCGTCACATAATTCGTTAAAAGACCGACTATTGATAAGTAGGTAAATATAGGTACTCAGGTGTGGTTCGACCTGAATAATGTAATTGTAATCAATACCTTTCAAAAGGATTAACAACAATGTCAGGTACAATGTGGCGTAGAACATGACACGCTGAAGAAGTTTCCAGGAGAATTCAATAGATTCAAAAAGTAAAACATAAAACATAAAACAACAACAAAAAGTGTTATTGTTACAAAATAAGCTTACTTATTATAACAAAAGAACATCAAAAGCTGATATACACTACTAAAGTTTTTCATTTTCAATATAAATCAATTTTTTTACTAATTGATTCCATTTCCATATCAAACAAAAACCAATGGTTCTCTTTCCAGGAAAACGAAAATCAGCATTTTCCTGATTAGCGGGTTTTTTTTATGCTACCATTTGTATTCAATTAGTTAAAAGATAAAAAAAAAATTCTGATCTTGATAGAAATATTTTCAGGTAAAAAAAAAAAAAAATTATTGTTTAATTACAGAATAAAAACGGATTTTTTTTTTAAATTTATTGTCGAATTTGGTTTCAGTGTAAAACAGCATCATAGATTTCAAGCCTTATCTGAAAAGGGTCTGATTATTAATAAGAGCTGTGAAGATGAAGAGAAAAACAAGCCTTAGTCAGAGGACATTGAAGCAACACTAACGATTTATTATTAGGCAAAATAATACATAAAATAAGTATGAATGTGTAGTTGTGTACTGACTATCACCAATACAGCACTAAAAAAAAATAAAAACTAATAATAGTAATAATTATAATCGCAACAACATACAAGGTTTAAGAGATACGAAAAATAAAAAAACACTAGGTTGTTATATTTGAAAAAGAATTGCTATGAGAAAATTTAATGAAATTATCTTTTTAAAGCAGTATTATAAGGAAGATTTTAATAAAATAAGTATTCTTTTATTTTTCTTCTAGTGACAAAAAAATAAATAATTTCAGTCTTTCGATGTGTGGCGGAATAAATAAATAAGGTTTTTTTATTTAAAGAAATTTTGATCGTGGCTTACTTCAAATATTTTACGGTGCTACGATTATTCCCTTGTAACGAAGAGTATCAGTAGTTGTCAACTAGTTGAAGCCCACCAAAAAATAAAACCTGCTTGTATTTTAATTTAAGTTAATTTAATGTTGAATTGGGGGGGGGCAGTAAGTAAACTTTTTAAACACTCTCAAACTTCTTAAAAAAAAATAAAAAATAAAAAAATTGTTATATTTTAAATTAAAATTTAACTCGTAAAATTAAATACAATAAACAATTAAAAAAAAAAAAAAAAAAAAAAAACTATTTTCGTTATTAAAAACACGAAAAGTTCAAATTTATTTTTGTTTAATTAATTATTCAAGTCAAGCATTTAAACAAAAAAAAAAAAACAACCCTCATCACATGGTAGAATTTTTCTTTAAATCACTAATTAAAATAGACTTTAAAAACGATCGAACACCTCCCCGCTCAAAATAAATAAAAATGGTAATAAATATTCAAAATTAAAGTAATGCAATTAATAAAATTATGAAAAAATAATAATAAATTGCGTGATCATTACATAGAGACACGCAAAAAAAATGTTTCCAGAGAGTGTGTGTTTTAATTTGATTAGCACTTTAAGTTTTAAAATGAAAGGTCGAATATAATATTTAAGATGATATAGAAATAAAATCCTATTTATTAACAGGATCTTGTGTCGACCAAATAAACAAGAACAAGACAAGTGTTTTTTTTTTTTAAACTACGGATGTTGGCATGTAATATAGTTTGTTTTTGGGGTTTTTTTTTTTTTTTTTAATGACGATGATGAAACTGTCAGTGTTATAAAAAAATAAATGCCAATGGTACATGTACGTACATTACTTAGAAAAAACAATTAAAAACTAAACATGAAAATTTAAAAAAAAAAGTTATTATTTAGGATTTTTTTAAGCTGATGATAGTAAAAATAAATAAATAAAATATCAGCAAAAAAAAAAAAAAACGGAAAAATAAAAAGAGGCTAACTCCTATGGTTGCGTACGGTAAAGAAAAGAGATAAGAATTTTTTTTTTTAAATGCTTTTTACCACATTTGCCAAGCCAATGATATATAATCAGATCTTATTTTTAAAATAATAAATATTAAATAGCGATAAGTAAAAGAAAATGGAAAATATAGATCATGGGAAGAAAAGAAAAAAAGATATAGTAAGAAACACGATTAAATAAAAATAAAAACACGAGATGTGATGGAGACAAAAAGTACGATTTATTTCACATCACAACAGGCTACACACGATCGCTTTCCCCTCTCGATGCAACAATTACCTCCTTTCTTTATCATTATTTAATTTGCCATATATATATATATGTGTGTGTGTGTGTGTGTATGTAGTGTGTACACGTACAGGGATTAGAAGTGTATTTGTATGTGCTTCTAAGCAGAAGTCCACTAAAATTTGAAAACATCAAGTTAAGCAAAAATCTATGTTGATGACAGACGAATGATACCTATGGTTGATTCTCTCCTCAAGGAATTTGAACTTGACTATGTGTATGTATGTATACCTTCCACCCCTAGGACGTTGAAGAAAGGAAAAAGAAAAAACGATATACAAGAGTCACATAAAAAGGTTATCAAGTCATGAAAATAGGGAAACGATCAACAGAAAATAGTGGCAAGAAGAGGACTTTTTTTTTCTCCCCCTTCTCGTCTTGCCTCTCTTTTGGAAGCAGGTATGGAGAAGGAAGAAAAAGCAGGTGAGAGAGAGATGATGAATTTTTTTAAAACTTACCAAGTACTACACGCAAATGCTTTAATCTGGTGGGAGGGTCTTTTTTGTTATCCGACACTTTCTGCGCCGACTTCTTAATGTCTCCATGGGCGGCTTTTCTGAACATGGACAGAGCCGACATCTAGCATTTAAGATTTCCTATGCATTTTCCATCACAATCACTAAGCGACCCTGTACAATCCAACAATAACAAATGGCGGTCTGTTTATATGAGCATGCGCAACTGTAGACAGGGCCGATAACTCTTGCTGGTTTATTTTGTCAGAAGTTCAAATGACAAATGATGAAAAATATTGCTTAGGTCAAATTGAAAGTTAAGCATTTGTTTTACATCATGTATTCTTTAATATATTATGATAGTAAAAACAGAAAAATAAGTTATAGTTCAGTAAAGATTTTATAGAAATAAAGTCAGAAATAAAACAGTTCAATTAAATTTTGAACATCATACTTATTTTAAATATTTTTTTTAAATTAATGTTATTTTAAAATTTAGTCATAAGTAATTTCAGGAACCATTTGTAATGATGGATGTACCTACTAACTACTAATCATGGAAGTTAAGAATAAATCTGGAGAACACTAACATACAATAATGTTCAATGAAAAAGGCATTGACAAGGATAAATCTCCATAACCGACCCCAAAAGCTGAGACCCATAGAAGGAAAGTGATGTTGTACATGTGGGGGGATTGTTAATAATTTATTCATTTAGAGTTCTTAAAAAAACAGAAAAAAATAAATGCACATTTATACATCCAACAGCAGCAATATGTCCATAAGAGTTTTGTCAAAATGTTCCCTGCTCTTATCAATAGGAAATAAGTTATTCACTTCTATGTGTGGAGAAGTTCCAGAGCATCTTAGTAATATTATAGTGACCTTGGGCTAAGGATTAAAAAGAAGAGTTGATTTGCCCATGCCAAGAAGATTAATGATGATAATGATGAGGAAGCACACAGGTTAATTTTAACAAAACAAGATATGGAATTTATTCACAAATTTACTCTTGAAGTAGTGTCAGTAGCTCATTTCAGGAAAATAAATCAGAATTCTTAAAGTCCATAGTTTCAACATATTATCATGAACAGGAAACGTTCATGCAAAAGATTAAATGATCTGACACAAAATAATATTAAAAAGTGTTTAAGACAAAGGTAAGTGAGTTTGTTGCTTACTGAAGGATGGTTTTCATATGTGTAAAAGTAGACTAAGAGAGATAGCTTGAAATACTTAGCTTTCTTGGATTGTTGAGAGAAATTTCTTTGGGATGCTGCATGCTGGCTAGAGGCTAATAATATATAATATATATATAAATGGTAAGTAATTCTACATGACTTCAGATGCTCTTCTGGTTAATTTAATTTATCTCCTCATTTTATATCAAAAAAAATTTTGCATAGGCTTGCTACTTTCTTTTGTTCTTCTTCTTGGCTCACTGGTTAATTTCTGTGAAAGCAAGGTTTTCATTGGTCCAAAAACAATATCACATAGGCTTCCGAATTTCTTTCCTTTTCTTCCTCAGCTCACCAGTTAATTTCTGTAAAAAGTAAAAATCTCACAGAAGTTCACAAATTTTTCCTTCTTCTTCCTCAGTCCTCCAAATTTGAAGGGAATGGGTGAAAGGAGTTATTATAATTTCACACTCACTACAATATTTATCAGAAAATTTGGAACACTTTGGAATAAAGAAACAGAATCAAAGATATAAATAATATATGTTTATTCAATTGGTTTGGTTTGGTTTGGTTTGGTTTGGTTTGTTTTATGGCATATTAAATGGATTATTTAATGCCAAGATTTTTATTGCTAGTAATATTTTTTTCCAAAATGTATTGCTGGTAATATCTCTTTTTTCGAAAATTTATTGCTGGTAATATTTTTTTCAAAAATGTATTGTTGGTAATAATGTATTGCTGGTAATCATTTTTTACAAAAATCTATTGCTGGTATTAAAACCTATTTTTACACTTTCATAGTGTTTTGACCCCAGTTTGTGGGTTAACTATTTGCCCATAGCTGGGACCTTAACAGGTGCTACCACCCCAAGTCAGAGTGGACCTAGGAACACCAGCAATTAAGAGGTGGTTCCATGCTCCTCAAAACCTCATGATCAGAGACCTTGTTGTTGGAGGTAGTTCATTGTCTTACTCAGGATGGGGATGTAGTTTATCATTTTATTCGATTGACTTCAAAATGGGTGAGTCCTTTACAAATCTTGTTGGCGAAAGTTCGTTTGGTTAGGCAGCTATCAACATCTGACTCACAAACAAACTCTGAGTCAGATTTTGATAGTTAATGTCATCTTGGTGGCACCTGTTGCAAGTTGTGTGGTTACTTTGGAAACATGTTGCAGTGCTAATCAGCTGTATATTCTTGACCTTCAAAAAGGGTGGAATTTGACTTAAGCAGATGACCACTTAGTTCTTCATGTGACACACTTTGGCTGGTTTCTGGCTGTCTCCTCTGTTGCTATCGGTCAGCTATCTGTCAGCTATCTCTTTATATACAATTTTGAAAGGCTCCAGACAACTTGGCGCAAAGCATATTTCAGGTAATATCAAAAGTCTCTTTGTTCTTTTAATTGGCTAAAATTCTTTTATTTATTTTCCAAAATTCCTTTCTTTTTCTTTTTTTATAGCGAAAGTTATGAAATGATGCCTTTCTTATTTTGGTAGATTTCTAGTCACAGTAACTAGACCCTAAATAAGCAAACTTCTGTTTCACAGCAGTTCTTCAGTCTTTTCTTCTTCTTCCTCTTTTTATATGATAATTGTCTTCTCATTAGTTGAGAGAGAAGTAGAGAGAGAGAAGGATAGAGAGAGAGAGAGAGAAAAGAGATATGCATTTTTAAGGAAAGCAAATGCATTATTTTAATTCTAATTTTTTTTTATATTTTATTTTCATATTTGGCTGCACCACACATAATAACACTAGGCCACATGCAGCAAAAGTAACTCAATTGGTTGTTTTACATATTCACCTGACCTCACATCAACCAGTCATCATCTTTTTCGAACACTGAGAAAAACTTTCTCCAATGAAGACACCAGATTCATGAGTTCAGCAAAAGCTTTTTCACATCACAACCTGTAGAATTTTATTAAAAAAATATCAAAGAGCTGCTTGATACAAGTCATTACAAATAATATAACAAAATATAACAAATATAATATAATATAATAATAATAATAATAATGATATAGTTTGGTTTGGTTTGTTTTATGGCATATCAACCTCAATGGGTTATTTAATGCCGACAAAATTTTTTGTTTCTGGGAATATTTTTCCTTGAAGAAATCTATACTTGGTAATATTTTTTTCAAAGAATGTATAGCTGTTTGTATTGCTAATACTTTTTCTTTTAAAGTATTGCTCATAATAATTTTTCCTTCAAAAATTATTGCTTGTAATATTTTTTTTTTATTACAAAGTATTTAAGGTATTAAAACCTATTTTTACACAAGTTTAGGTGTCAACTATTTGCCCATAGCTGGGACCCTAACAGGTGCTACCACCCCGAGTCTGGGTGGACTTGGGAACGCCAGCAATTAAAAGGTGGTTTCATGCTCCTTAAAACCTCCTGATCAAAGCCCTTGCTGTTGGACATAGTTTATTGTCTTACCCAGGATGCAGATGTAGTTTATCATCATACCCAGGACGGAATAATGATATAATATATAAATATAACAAAATATAATAAAATAATATAACAAAAAATGTAATTGTACTTTAGTTTTTGAAGAATAAAATTTATGAGTAAAAACTGACATTTTTATGACTCAACCTAATATATCAATTCCTAATATTTATAGTATTTAAGGTTGCATGTTGACAAATTGTAGATGTGTGCAGATTCACATATAAATAATTAGCCTTTATCACTCTGTATGTGACTTCATTTGCTATACAAAAAGTTTATCCTTCCACTGAAGTTGACTCATCTCTGAACAATAGTGTGTTTAAATTTCATAGTTGTGCAATCATATCCTTCTATGAAAACAGAAATCAACTTTGAGTGAAATTAACAATACTATAATTGAGAGGCTTGTAAAAAATGCAGTGAAAAGGGAAATAATATTAATAATGCAGAGTGCTAAAGTCGTACAGATATTATTATTATAAATAAATAAAAATAAAATAATAATAATAAGGAAAAATGTAATAAAATAAAACAATAAGATTTAAACTTTGTCTAAAATAAATTAAATAAAAATAATAAAAACTCTCCCAGCATGTAACATAAACTGTTACTGTCAGAAATACAGATATCCTGCCAAAAGACATTAAATTCAACCTCTTTGCTAAGAACCCTCAAGCAGGCAACACGTGTGTAACTTCTCACTCTGTGATATGGCTTGTAATAATATAGAGTAATTGCTTCCTCTCATTACATGTACTATGAAATGATTGTAACCTAAAAAAATATACACACTAATACACACAAATAAATTGTATAAAATTAACATACAATTTACCATGCTTTCCTGTTATTTCTATACGTTTTATTTCCTGCCAAGTATGCTTTTCTCTCTGTTAGCACAAGACTAATCTCTGTTGCTATGTTATGGGTGACCACCACATAGTTAAAGAAGAAGCAATAAAACTTGGTTTTCTACTACAGACTATTTATTCCTTTTTTTATATAGAAACTGTAGGGAAACAAAGTTCTCAATGTCTCTTGGGTATGCCCATTTTCTAAGGTTAGCAATGAACAATAATACTTAGGACAAGAACAACACATATAAGATTCACCAGCAGCACATAGAAGAAGTAGTCAATTACTAGAAGTGAGTCAATGAATCGCCAACTGCAGACCAACATACAGTATTTACTACTGTATTTATGTGAATGGGGACATACCCATTATTGTCTGTAGGTATGCTACAACAGTAAGTAAGGATAAGAATGGTTACAATGACTGAGTTGCAACAACCAAAGTAAAGATTGGACTTACATCATTGATGTAATGAATATGCATACACCTGGTTTCCTCTCACATTAATATGATTGGCTGGTGTAAGCCATAAATACAGACTGATGTGGAGGTACAGGTCCACACCTATTGGCTACGCCTATAGTCTTCACCTATTGCCTACGCCTAT